GAGAAGAAAGAAAGAAACAAACAAAGAAAAAGAGAAAAGAGAAAGGAAGAAAGAAAGAAAAAGAAAAAAAGAGGAAGGGAGGGAGGGGAGGAAGGGAGGGAGGGGAGGAAAGGAGGGAGGAGAGGAAAGGAGGGAGGAGAGGAAAGGAGGAGGGAGGGAGGAAAAAGAGAAAGAGAGAAAAAGGAAAGAAGAAAAGAGAAAGAAGTAAAGAGAAAGAAAGAAAAGTAATGTGATGCTTATAATTCCAGTGCTTTGGGAGGCCAAGACTGGGGTATTGAGACCAGCCTGGGCAATATAGTGAGACCATATCTCTAAAAAAAATAGAAAAATTAACCAGGCATGGTGGTGTGCCTGTAGTCCTAGCTACTCAGGAGGCTGAGGGGGAAGATCGCTTGAGCTCAGGAGTTTGAGGCTGTAGTGAGTCGTGATCGCACCACTGGACTCCAGCCTGAATGACAGAGATACTGTCTTTAAAAAAAAAAAAAAAAAAAGTGATATTGTGAATAAAATCCTTAAAATTCTTTCCTAGGATTCGTAACAGTGTCAGTTTGCAAACTAATACTCAGGGAATACATATTTTAAAATTTAAATTCTTTCTTTTATGTAGTCACTGGCTAAACGGTACCAGTTACAGAGCTACGGATAACAATCTGATTTTCAAAGGGCAAATCTTTCAGAGGAAGAGGGTAATCCCTTCTGTAGGAAAACCACACTCAGAGTCCCCTCTCCGACGGGAGTGGGGCTGGCTTCAGAATCAGAGTCGGCCCCCAGCGAGCCTCACAGAACACTGGGGAGGAAACCCACAGCCAGCTGAGCTTGGGTTGGCCATCAGTAATGGCTAAAACTGGAAAAACAGTCAGTGGAGAACCCCCTCTGCCCTCCCTCCTTCAGCAGGCCAGGAGTGGCAGAGTTCAGTGTTGACACAAATTATCTCAATGGAAGCCCAAGATCTTGGCTCATCAAGGACAATCCCAGGCAACTGGAACCATAACCCAATGTGTTTCCAGAAAGCTGAGAGGGGTCTGGTTTGAAACAAACACATTTGATAAGAATGCACAACTTGTCCCAGAATCCCAGGGAATGGGAATGGGAGTTGGGGAGTGGACCTTCCCTGAAAAATCTCAACAGCTAGTGATTTCACCAGCTCCTTTCCACGGGGAGGGGGTGTGGAGGGGGAGGGGTTGGACGGGAAGTCTTTCCCGAAGCCTAATCAGGGAGTAGCAAGGCTGCGACTAAGCTCAAAGAGGCGCCTTGGACGGAGGGGGCAGA